TTGGGGCTTGAAATTGGCATTTCTCAGCTTAGAGAAAGCAGCACAAGTTGGTAGTAGAGAGAGGCAAGCAAAGTTACATTGTCCCTTGGGCTTCTACGCAACTCCCCTCAATCAAGACTCTTTATTTTGTTTTTTCCTCTTTCAATGCTGATCATACCATTGTATTTATATTAAAATGTTTCACTATGCGATTATATATATCTTTGCTTATTTTGATGATTACGATTTTTAAAACAACTGATACCTTTTCAAAGATAACATTACAATAACAAGTAGCTGGATTTATTACTGTAGATCCAAATCAAGGACTCTCTGCTTATAAATACATTTATTAGCTGGGCCAGGATCAATGTCCGTAGATTGGATAATTATTTACTAGTTTTTAACCCCTTGCTAGGAGGAAACATCTAGATAACTTAGCTGTTGTCAAAATAAGGTTGGCCCTGCTCAGTATTTTGATGAAAGAATGCCAGGGAATATCAGGGATGTAGACTAGATTGGAAAACTAAAAAAAATCTTGAAAATAGGCAATAGCAGATCTTTTCAGTATTGTTGCTAAGGAAGCTACTTGGATGTATCTATGAAGTCATATAGTTATATTTTATAGCTGTTTAATTATCTCTTGCTTTCATGTAATAATAGCAGGCTTAAAACTGCTGTAGCGTAGTTACATTATTGTTAAAGAGAGCAGATACTTGCTTTCTGTACATACTATAAGCTGAAAAGCTGCCACTGTTTGGTCTGGGGGAGAATGAGAATTGTCAAGATCAAGAGAAGCAGAAGATTCAGAAGTAAGGAAGCTACAAAAAACAACCAAAACAACTTTTGGGTTGAAAACAATATTTGCTCAAGTTGTGAAGCCAGAAATAGAGAGTTTATGCAAGTGGTGTGCGTTGTTCAAGTTTACTGAGAAATCTGACCTGATAACCTCTCAAGATCAGACAAGTTTCCACTTTTTTTTCTACCACTCAATATTACATCATGTGCAGTTTTGCAATGTACAGTGTGTAAAGAAAAATGAGGTTGTTTTGGTTCCTGGCTTTGTTCTAATTTAATTTATGATAAATTAAATTTAATATTAAGTCTAATATTGACTATGAGATATGCAAGCAATCCCTTACGTTCTATGGGGAAAAATAAATGTCTTAATATTATTGACTTCATAAATTATCTGCCAAACCCTTAAACTGTTGCAAATTGGGTATTATTGCCTTAATTTTCCATTTCAATTTAATATGATTACATTGTATTTAACAATTATGGTTGCTTGTAAATTCAGATTACTGTTTAATTCAGGATAGTATTGAGCTCTTGTAAACAATTTGCTTTGTTTGTCATTGTACTTAAATATCTAAATTGTAATTTAGTCGCTCATTAGTGATAGTAATTGTCTATATCTTGCCAAATAGACTGTGACCACTAGAAATGAGATTTGCATATATTAGTTATTTCATGGATGGTAGATGCCTCTAAATAATTTATATATAAATAAGCACCTTGCTGTGGTTAGTGGTATTTTGATGGCTATTATGTATCCCTAGTGTAATTAGGAAGCCATTCTTCCTGTCATTAAGTAAATGTAAGTGAATTTAATGGATGATTGCAGGTGCTACTGCAAATATGTTTCCCTAGCATAATCCTGAGACCTGCATTTATTTTAAATACTTTCTAGCAGTGACATATCTATTCTAATGTTAAAAAGAAAACACAGTTTAACCTATTAAGTACTAACTTATAAAAGAAACATCGTTTCCTGCCAGCAATAGTAAATAAGTAACAGCTAAGTCACTGTTATTCTTTTGGGGTCTTGATAAAGATTTTTTTCAGTTGAATTTTCAGTTCTGAATTTTCTTTTCTATCTCTTTTCCACTCGCCACTGTAATAAAAATCAATACGAATAGCTTGGCCAGTAAAAATATTAGGGCATGACTCTTTTCGGAACCCATATTTTAGACGAATACTGCACATTGGTAGACAAGGAAGAAACATGAAAAATAAGAAGCATATTTGAATGTTAATAATAGATTAATAACCTGGACAATTGTTTTTATTTATTTATTTTATTTATACATAGACTTATCCCCGCCCATCTCCCTGCAATGGGGCACTCTGGGCGGTTTACACCAAGTTAAAACAATAAATACATGATTAAAATTTATAAAAAGACAAACACATCTACATAGATGGAAAGAGAAAAAAAAATCCAAGAGGCTGATGGAAGCCACACTAGGCCTCTAGGGGGCTAGCCAACCCCACTTCTGATATCCTCCCTCCCCACCCCAGTCCAGATGGCAGAGCTAAGTCTCCAAACCCCTCCGAAGGGCAGGGAGTGAGGGGGCCTGTCTCACCTCCGGGGGCAAGATCTTCCAAAGGGCGGGGGCTACAGCAGAGAAGACCCACCTTCTGGACCCCGCTAGTCGGAGTTCTTTTGCCGAGGGGGTCCGGAGCATGCCCTCTCTGTGAGATCGGGTGAGACAGGTTGAAATTGTGGGGGCGAGGTGGTCCCTCAGGTAGCCTGG